CCTTCCGCTTTCTACGCCGAGGCGGTGTTGGACACATCCCCAAGCCTGCTCTACCTCGGGCCACCACTCCCACAAGCTCTTTATGCCTCAAACGAGCCTGTGCATCCAGCACAGCGGCTTGAGCGCTCCATTTCCTCCCTGTCCTCACCAACACTCCTGCCTGAGCCACCTTTGGGTCGTCGGAGTCTCTATACATCAGCACCTCCCGTGCCCGAGTCACTTTAAACTCCTCTTCCAAGGATTTCAGGGGCAACCGGAGCATTGTGGTATTTCCATAGAGGGCTATATTACTGAGACTCCTAGGCAACCCTAACCATCTCCTGAGGCAACTGCTGACCTTTCTCTCCAAGGTCTCTACCGTAGAAATTGGAACCTCATACACAAGTAACGGCCAGAGTATTCTTGGCAGTATACCATGTTGGTATATCCACGCTTTAAACTTGCCACAACGGTCCAGAACGGTCTGTTGCTCTTAACCAGCTATCCAGCTCCTGGCAGGTTGCCTGGACTGATGCGAAGTCTCTGAGGCTGCTGTCAAAAACCTTGCCCAGGCTTTTCACCGGCTCTTCTGACAATGATGGTATCTTTACCCCTCCTATACTGAAATGAAACCTGTCCATAACCTTGCCCTTCTTCAGCACTAGCGAACGGGACTTGGCTGGTTTAAACTCCATCCGAGCCCACCGAATGAGCTTTTCCAGCCCTTGGAGTATCCACCTGCCTCCTGGCACCGGTTGTGTGGTGACCGTCAGATCATCCATAAATGCTCTAATCGGAGGTTGTCGGACCCCTCCTCTACTCTGGGGCCCCCGGCACTCAGTCTCTGCCGATTTGACAATCATATTCATAGTCACTGCAAACAGGATCACAGAGATGGTACAACCTGTAATTATCCCCACCTCCAGTTTGTGCCACTCTGATGTCACACCTCCTGCAGAGACTCGCATCCTGAAATGGTTGTAATAATCCAAGATCAGATCTGCAATGTGATGTGGCACATAATGCTTGGTCAAGGTGGTCTGGACCAACTTGTGGGGGATAGAACCATATGCATTGGCCAGATCTAACCACAGCACCGTGAGGTCTCCCTTGTATTCACGAGCTTCCCGAATGAGCTGAGTCACCACTCCCGTGTGTTCTAAACAACCTGGGACTCCAGCAATTCCTCCCTTCTGCACAGATGCATCTATGTAGTTGTTATTTAAGAGGAAGTTGGTTAGACGCCTTGCTACTATGCTGAAGAAGATCTTGCCTTCCACACTCAGCAATGAGATTATTCTAAACTGATTGATCTTCTTGGAATCTTTCTCCTTCGGGATCCAGACTCCCTCAGCAAATCTCCACTGCTGTGCCACCTTCCCTCTTCTCCAAATGACTCGAATGATCTTCCAGAGTCGCCTGAGCAGCAAGGGACAGCTCTTGTAGACCTTGTATGGGATTCCACTTGGTCCAGGGGCAGAGCTAGATCGTGCTTTACACACAACCTCCTGGACTTCTTTCAACAGTGGCTCCCTGCTGTCAAACTCCTTGGAGGGAGGAGGTATATCCACAAGGATGTTACACTGGCCCAACTCTTCCTCCCGAAGAGGGTCACTGTAAGTGCTGTGCAGATGCTGGTCGATCTCCTCTTTTGAACAGAGCAACTTTCCGTCACGCTTCTCTCCCAGCAGCTGTTTAGTGAACCCAAAGGGGTTGGCAATGAACGAAGCTCTCTTCCTAGATCTCTCCTTTCGACGCCTTCGGTGCCACTCAGCTCTGCGCAAGGTCATCAGCCTTTTCCTCAAGACAGCTCTCAACTCCTCCAGGGGGGGGCATTGCTCCTCACTGGCCTCCTTGTACTGCTTCTTGAGTGACTTCAACTCCCGCCGGATTTTACGGATCTTCACTGCTCTATGGTTCATGGAGTAGGTAGTTGGAGTTGATCGCTTCTCCTCAACACCAAACCTCTCCTGAGCTAGGCTAAAAATAATGGTCGTCATTGCCTGCAACCTTCGATCCACATCTCCCTTCACTATTGCTTCAAGCACCTTGTCGACATCCTCGTCGAACTACCTCCAGACTGCCGTCTTACAAGCCTGTGGCCACTTGATTTGCACCTTTGCCTGGGGCAGAAGACCTGGAGGAATGGTTTGTGGCACACGGAGGCTCTGAGCACTATGGGGTGCTTCCTGGCTCGGCTCCTCCTGCGTCTCACCAGATGTAACATCTGTGCGCTGTGACACATGACCGTTCTCCAAACACTTCATCCTGGCTTGATGCTTTTAAAAATACCATTGAAGTGATACCAGTATAGAAGGTGTCCAAATTTTTCTGCTGGGTTCATAACTGAGATGGTAGGAGATGCAAAGACACAGGCTTTCGCCCAGTACTGGGAGTACAGAACCTGCAGGAAGCGCTTCACACTCATCAGGGTGACTGTCAGCACGCTTCCATATAAACTGCAGAAGAGAAAGTAGTTGAATATCTTGCAAGATGCAGAACCCAGTCTACGTCCATGCAGCATGTTGTACACATTACCCAGAACGGTGACAAGGCACATGATGTCAAAGAACACCAGGCTCAACATCAGCTTCATAGTGAAAAATCCCCTGGCTACGAAGCGGCCGTCACACTATTAAGGCGTCACCGTCGCAGCCCCGGTCATAACTATCGTCACCCTAACCCACATCGGAACCTGATCCTGACCCTGCAGCCCGCTATCTAACTTCACCCCCGGCAGCCTAAACGGCATGCGAGCGGCAACTCCCCAAACCCGCGAGTCCTTAGCCTGACCGGGTCCGTCTTATTGAGCTCCCCTACATTATCCATTCTACCTCTTTTAATACCGCACCCCTGACAGCCCAGGTGTAGCCACTTAACCGCTACCTTCCACACAAATCCCTCCCCCACAGACGTATACCCACAGGTCACTTCATTACAGAAGCATCACGATATATTAATGATTAACATAAGCTCTAATAGGGGTGGCATGGTGGTGCAGTGGTTAGCACTGTTGCCTCACACCTCTGGGACCTGGGTTCGAGTCTCCACCTGGGTCACATGTGTGTGGAGTTTGCATGTTCTCCCCATGTCATCATGGGGTTTCCTCCAGGTGCTCCAGTTTCCCCCCACAGTCCAAAGACGTGCTAAGGCTAATTGGCATTGCTAAATTGCCCTTAGGTGTGCGTGTATAAGTGAATGGTGTGTGAGTGTGCCCTGCGATGGGCTGATCCCCCATCCAGGGTTGTTCCCTGCTTCCAGGATAGGCTCCAGACCCCCCACAACCCAGTAGGATAAGCAGGTTGGACAATGGATGGATGGATAAGATCTAATAAGATCAGTATGTAACAAACTTAGTTTGTCTTTAATTAATGCATAAGTAATAGCATAATACTGTTGCACCAGTGAGATGACTTAGCATGTACAGAGGATCCAGCAAGTGTGCTGAGCATGCTGGGGTATTGTAATTAGCCCCTCTTTTGTGTAGTTATAAATACTTGCTGCATTTCCTATTGCAACGTGTATGTTTGACCGTGTCTTGCGTGAACTCTGTACGATCTTCGCATGTCTCTAGTTATTGTGCAAATTGACCTCCGCGTTTTTCTGCGTTAGAAGTGATTCAGTGTGTGTCGAGTGTTTTTGTTGGATATTTTAAGTACTTATTAGAAGCGTGTTGCTTTCTGCAAAGAAGTGTCCTCCTGTTTTGCCACTGCCGCGATGCCTCCGTCTGCCAAGGGCTACTTGGCGTCAGAAGCTAGATGCCCCACTGGCACTGCTGGGGCAGGTTCTCCTCAGCATCGCTGGGCAAGCCTGCTCCATACTGTCCAGACATGATACCCAGTTATATGGTATTTTTAAAAGCAACAGTCTTTCACCATTTTGAAATATTGGCCAAAAAAAAACTCACTGAGTGGAGGGGGATAATTTTGTAATATGAATTTCAAAATACTACAGTTTGCCTTATTATTTCTAACTCTAATACTGCCCAAGCTTTGACTAATTACTTTTAATCTATTCATGAAAGTTTGCCTGTTTCTCTACACTGTTTGTATTTATGTTTGTTGCAACACATCTGCCCTCTTCGGGTGTGGTGGAATATCACTGCTTTATGCATGCACCGACTGCGACCATCTGCAGCCAAACATGGTATCTGTACAAGCTGCTGCGTGCACGACCATCTGCAGCCCAAAAACGCACGCAGAAAAGTGAATTATTAATTATCCTCTAAGGTCAAATGAACAAACCATCAGTCATACTACCAACTTTGCATGTTCCCTGAAGCTAATCAAATGTCACATGTCTCATTGTTATACTGACTCACAACATGTGAAAAAAGAAAATATGGTTGATTCACTAGTAATTAAGTAAACTGGATATTCTGCTTAAAGTCTGGCAATATGGCCAATGACACCCAAATGGCCTTATTGAGTTTCGTGGTTTTCTCTTAAATAAGCAAATCAACTGTGTGCAATTTGATTGTGCTTTGTTTGATGCTTTTTGCTTTTTTTGCTTATGGAAAACTAACCAGTGACATATGGCTTTTTTTGCCATGTTGCTTCCTCTTCCTCTAAATGTGATTTTGTTTTAGATGCACTGCAGTTGCTGTCACACTCATCATGAACCAGTCTAACACGTCTACTCTTTGGGACCCTGCAATTCTGAACAAAGCAGTGATTCCCAGTGTGGTTCTGGGCCTCTGCTTCCTTATCGGTGTCCCTGGAAATATTACAGTGATCGTGGTCATACTTCGTCATTTCAAGCTGGAGAACTTCACCATGAAGCTGCTGCTGAACCTGGCCGCCTCTGACATCTTGTGCCTCATCAGTCTGCCAATATGGATCTATGATCTTTTTTACGGCTGGAATTTTGGTGAGACAAGCTGCAAACTGATGCGCTACATGGTCTTCTGCAGCTTGTATGGCAGTTTACTGATGGTCACCCTGATGAGTGTGCAGCGCTATGTACAGGTTCTGTATTCCCAGTACTGGGTGAGACTGGGTGGGACTGGGGAGAGGGTACTGCTGGTTAGCGTGTGGGTCGTGGCCTGTGTCTTCGCCTCATATTCGATTGTTCAAGGGAAGGTATTGAGGGATGACCAAATTCCACGGTGTGAAATCGACTACAGCTCAGATGGGCAGAGATTGGCTGTATTGCTCTCTCAGACATTGCTGGGCTTTGTGATTCCTTTCTCTGTCATGGTCACATCTTACTGCTGCCTTCACAGAAAAGTGAAACAAAGAACCTTCTTCATAAACCAGAGGATGAAAAGACTGGTTGTCAGCATTGTAGTAACCTTCTTCATATTCTGGATTCCAGTACATGTTGTAAGTGTGATAGAAATATTTTCTATCTTGCTAAAATCATCCCACCCGGCTGCATCGGCCAAACTGGAGAAGTTTTGCAGTGTCAGCAGCAACATTCTAGGATCTTTCAGCTTCATTAATAGCTGCATAAATCCATTCCTGTATGCCTTTGCCTCACGAAACCGTCGTCAGGATGCAACTCCATCCAGGAACACGCAGGATGTCTCCACTAGTAATCTTTGACTTGTCTGACTTTGCCCTATTCATCTTTTCTTATATTGTCTCTGAATTAAATTACTGATTGTGTTTCAGCCTGAGTTTCTTCTTGTAAAGTGTACCACTTGTGCTTTTGTGCTGGTTCATTTTAATTGCAACGGGTGTCATTATCTTGAGCTTAGAAAATACTTGATTGATAAATCTGCCTCCCATTTTGCAATAGGAAGGGATATTGATTCATCCATTTTGGAAAGTGTCCTGTATATTTTAGACAATAATTTGGGGGGTTTGAGATTAAGAAATTCTGCCACACTTGGTGGTATTTGTAATTTAATTTGATTAGACTTGAATTTCCTTTTTACTATAGATTTTACTTGTTGATATTCTAAAAATCTAGTCTTGTTAATCCCATATCTTTTAAATAATATGTCAAAGGGGATAAAATCTATTTCTTCTAATATATGTTCCAAGTATTTAATACCTTTACAACTCCAATCTGGGAAATTTATGATATTATTGTTTAGTACTATGTCAGGGTGGTTCCAGATGGGAGTACGTTTGCATGGGATTAATGAAGACTCAGTCGTTTTTAGAAACTCCCACCATGCTGTCAGAGAAGAGCTGATACTGATGCTTTTGCAGCATTCATGTTGTTTGATGTTTGAGCTAATGAATGGTAGATCCGAAATCTCTATATTATTGCATAGTGCCTGTTCTACATCTAGCCAAGGTTCATCTAAGAGGGTATGTTTTAGCCACCCTGAGATGTTTTGAAGCCTGTTGGCTAAGAAGTACTGGTGAAAGTTAGGCAGATGTAGTCCTTCTTTGTCCTTTGTCCTTTGCAGCGTTTTTTAAGCTAATACGCGGGGGTTTATCTTTCCAAAGGAATTTAGAGATGGCGGAGTCCAGAGATCTAAACCAGTCAGGTGATGGTTTGCTCGGGATCATTGCAAATAAATAATTAATTCTTGGCAAAACCATCATTTTTATTGAGGCGACCCGTCCCATGAGTGATATGGGCAGGGACTTCCATCTAACCAGATCATCCTCTACCTTCTTTAAAAGTGGGATGTGGTTTAATTTAGTTAAATTTGCCAGCCTAGGTGATATATATATACTTATTTTCTACAGGAAATTGGCTACCTGCTGAGCCCCCGTGCTGAAGTAAAATTCATAACAAGGGTTAAGTAATTCAGAGGTGCCTTCAGGCCATGAGCCATGATAAAATATGTTAGCAGTGAAGCCTTCCTCCCCTCAGAAGCTTTGTACTGACTGGGTCAGCTCTCTCACTCAGTGGTTGGCTGTGATCTTGTATTTCTGTTAGATATTCGGTGCTGGATGGCAAAAAAAATTCTAACGTTAAACACAGAAAAAACAGAAGTACTGGTGATTGGTCCCAAGGCTGCAAGAAATAAGTTTCACCACCTCAGCATTAGTGGCCTTCCTACACAACCTAACACACGCTTGCTTCGATCTCAAGGTGCGGGATATCTGTTAGTACTGTAGGAATTATTAGCTCAGGTAATTTTTAATATC